ATTGTATGACGTGAGTCATAACCGTCGATCGTATATAATTTTGAAAATTCCGGTGATCAATGTCAGGGGAGTGTACAGTAAAAATATATAAAATTTAAAATAACAATAACTTCCAAATTACTAATCATGTATAAATAAATTGAATTTCTTTTAACACAATCCTTAATGGAACGCTTTTCTCAAAGTTAGATTTTATCAATGGTCTTTATTTTAATTATATGAGAAAAAATAACGATTATTTTAAAGAACACGCTGAGAAGAATTCAATACATATAATTTCATTTGATAAGCCCTAAATATTATCATTTAAATTTATTGTCCGGAGCAAAGTGAAGGACACTGTTTTCGACAGGCCACTAAAATCACATAATAAAATCTGTCCATGGTGTTGATTGGTTATCATTAAACACACCCCAGTGCATACAAAGAGTTTTTAACTGTTAAACAGTGCATCGGTGCGTTTAGTAGATGCGGGCCTGATAGTGAGATGTGAAACTATTACATCACAAAAGGCCTAGTATGTACAAGCACATATGGAGACCATGGAAATGTTTTAATGAAAATGTTTATATAAAAATTTTATTTGGATTAATTACAGTATAGGTAACCACACTATAAGACAATTGATTAATAAAAAAAAACTTCTTCCTAATTATAAAAAACCTAAACCCTGACAATTTTTATTTAAAATTAAAAATGGTACCTTGTAATCGTAGCTTGCAACCTTTTCTAATAGCTCTGGTTAATTTTCAGGCAAGCTTAGTAAGTTTATAAAAGCAAAATAGTATACGAGTATTATATATAAAATAAAATGAAAACCAATTTTAAGAACCGCCTTCTTCTTGGTTTTATTATCAGTTATTTATTTCGTCCTAAATCTAAAAATAAGAAAATATTGTGTCGATAAACTGTTGTATCGTGTCTTGTGAATGCGGTTCCGTTTTAAAATCCTTGAAAATGGCATTTAAAGAAGGCCTACCATTGCAATTTACGGATGTTGATCGATCTGCGTGACAAATCGTACAACTGATATGTATGTACGGTACTCAAATATTGAAAGTTTTTTTGACTGATGCTTATAGAATTATAAATGGAATCCAAAAATAATTCAGCTGATCTATTGAAATTGCAAGCAAAATTTGAGGCCATGAAAATTCAAAAGATATTCCATTAGTATCTGAAATTCAAAAGGATAATTATAAAGTTGAAGTATATAAAGGTTTTAGAATTTGTAAAGGATTTAAAACAAATTTTACTTGGTGTTGTCCTCAAAAACTAATTGATGCATTATTAGAGATCAAATACAGTATAAGGCACATTAATTTTATTAATAATCAATTTTATTAATGGTGTTCCTTGTACTATATTTGATCCTTTATTGGAACTGAAAACAAAGTTATTTGTGATTTTTTTTAAAAAAATGTAGCTATTTACAAAAGGTTATTATGATATGATCGAATAGGTTCCTTTTTATAGGTCTGAAAATACAAAAAGTATTGCAGAGGAGAAGGCTTTTAGTACTGCATACACTGCTACTTGACTAGACGGGCTAAGAGAATTGGATTACTGTAGGATAATAATAGACATTGTCATATTCTCAGAATATTTCAAAGCTGCTGATATTTATAGCTCAGATATAATCATAACTGAATTACCTACTGGTACATTACCATATCACATAATGTCCCGCACAACTATTTTGATTAATATAATTAAAGGTTTACGACCAGCATTTGCTGAAGGGGCACCTGAATGCTACATTCAATTAGAGAAACAATGTGTAAATGCTGATGCTCTCCCATGGAAAGTATTCGGGTGAGTTTAAATAATTGGCATAATTATAATGTTTGAGATAAGCTGCCGATAAAATGATTCCTACGCTACCAACACCTTCACAGATACACAAACAAGCGGTGTTCACTAGTCGATTATATAAATAATATTTTAATTGCGTAACGCTTTTCGTTGAATCGTATGAGTCCGAAAATAAGCTACTCCTGTTTTTTAAAACAAATCGCAACAGTCGCTACATATAAAAGTCAAATTTACTAAGTAAATTCTTTAGGCTCTTAAGTAAAATTGTTTAGAACAACAAAATACATATATCCTGAAAGCTTCATGCAAATTGGACGAGCATTTGCTGAGATGTTTTAATTTTTTTAACAAATTCAATGTTCCGAAAATAAGCTACCTGTAAAATTTTCGTATATAATTATTGTGCTAACTAATAATTTGTGTTAAAGCGTATGACATCGATGGTATGAAATAATATAAATTTGCAAAATGATAATAAATTTAAAAGTATTTAACTTTTTTATTATTTATTTTAGATCATGATTTTACAGATTAGGTGTGGTTTAATTCACGAACAGAATTAACAGGTATGCTTATTTCACATTAAATATTATATTATTAATAATAGAATATTTTAGTTAATGGATATAATTTTTTTTTGAAATAATAAATATCGTCGCGCCAAAAGGCATTCTAAAAAAAAAAAATGCAGTAAAAAATAATGCATTAATTATTGATTAGTATTCATTAAAATTGAATTTGTGAACTGTTTGTCCATGTATCTTTGGCAACAAGTGATATTTATTCTTCGCGAGCCAGTCACTCCGAAATACAGAATCTTGGTGAGTTGAGAAACTATTTTTATGAAATGACGAAAAAGAACATATTGCCCTGAAAAATGAAACCCCACAAAGGACAAAACTTTAAACCTAGAGTCTTTCTAGGTGAGATAATTCGATCAAAACTCGCAAAAATTGATTCTAACTGAAGGTGTCTTACTACAGTCTGACCTTTTTAATATGGATATTGCTAACTTGCCCCTGGTTAACATAACCACCCCTTATTATAACTCAAAAACGGCTTAAGTAACTATGTTGGTAAAAATGTTCAACGCTATAAAAAACTTAACTCTAATCCTAATTCTAATTTCAACTTTATTTTCAATATTAATATTAAATTTAATTTTAAAATTTGAGTAAAAATTTATAATAAATTAGGCCACACAAATTTAATATATTGGTTTTCATAACATGAAACTTTTAAACAGACCCGGCCGGCCGGCTTTT